AATACATGAACCAGGGAGAGAACAGACAGATCATACGGGGCAAGAGAGAGACTGTGATAAGACCTAGCGATATGGCAGATTCTGATCAACATTCCCAGCACAAGGGTGATAACGACAGCGTGGAGTGGGAAGGCTTTTCATGAATGCCGCTCAAAGGTGCACAGTTAAAAAATTGTAACAGTGAAGGCGTGATAGGAGGATATAGGAAATATGAATAGCCCATGGCAGAATGGGAGATACCATAACTGTTTAGCACATGTTTGGTCAAAAGGATCGGCTTCATTTGTCTCTGACGAGTTGTTGTGTGGTGCTCAGAATGGCGAGACTCACTGACGGTGCCGACTACGATGCCAGCGAAACGCCTGGGAAAGTTCCACGTTCACGGTTTAACTTTGGAAATGATCATGCATACAATGGACTCCGGACTATGGCGTTTCTCTAAGTCTTCCTACCAATATGACCAACTTGCCAAAACAAGGTCCAACTACTTCTATACAACAAAAGGAAACTGCGGCCACACAAAAGGCCATATCTTCGGTTATCGGTCCTTAAATTACCTTAAGTGATCCAAAGTTACTAATTTCTTATTCATAAATTTACTCTGACTTTTTTCATCCAAAAGCCTATGTTTCTATGATGACTTTCTACTTTTTATCGGCATTAATGATCCCGAAATTGTTCTTGATCGTCGAGGATCTACTGAAATGTTTTATAATTCGGAGCTCCTCTTACTTTTCCATTGGAACATTTGTAATCTTGGTTTTGCTTACGTTCATGTTTTTATTTTCTATATAAGTAGTTTTCGCAATTAACACTCATTCTTGATTAAGTCCGCATAGTTTGCTACATGTAATTTAAAGACTGATAGTTTAGTTTTTCCACAATGGGAGCAGCAGTTCTCACTATACCATTCAATTTCATTTATTGCATCTTAAAAGCTTATCTCCTTCAGATTGGACGGAAATTTCGATCTTGCCTATGCTTTATCAGCACCCTAGCTAATTTTTAGATCAGGTTGTGACTACCGTGGCCTCGAATATCGCATCTGCCTTTTAGACCCACTGGCACTTTGGCCCTGTAGTAAAATGGAGCGTTAATATTGCCAAATGCAACTATCCGTCCCTAAATCGCCTTAAGTGATTTAGGATAACTAGACTCCTTGAGTTTTTTTTTGTTTTGGGTCCATTTGCCCATATTTACTTTTCAAGTCATCCACAAAGTCTTTTCCATATTTTAGGTAAGCTAAGATACAGCGAATAATCAATGCTGAAATTTTTAGTTATCTTAAAGATTCTATGGTAACTAGTAGATAAGGTGATCTTTTTTTGTTTGTGAATTTAACGCCGTATGAATTTAAATTCACTTCTTGCTTAAAGATTTTCAATTATTGATTGTTTTGGGGTTTATATGGATTTTCCTTCCTCTACATTTATTATATTTTTCCCTTTTGTTTCTTTCCCAAATTAACTAGACCTTACATGGCTATCGAGGACTCCGTTGCTGAAGCTCAGGTAATTACCGACACGCTAGTTTTAGAGCGTTGGGCTCTGACCGCCTACCGACTCGCTTCTTCTGCGATTAATCAGTCGAACGCCCAGTTGACCTTAGCTGATATTGATTTAGCCGAGTCTCTTGATTGGCTTTGTGGCCCAATAGTTATCTGCTGTAACAAAAATACCTGTCACAAGGAGTTGAAAACCGCATGGATGGCAATTTTCAAGCCTTTGGTAAGACCAATATTTTTTTATTATATATACTATCCCTGATTATTCGAGGCATTTAGGCAATATTGATACTTAAAGCTCTTACAATAGACAAGGTGTATATTTATTGTTGATCACATCTAAGTGCTGCTAGCCCCATTTATTATTTGTCTTCTTTCGCTGCATTTTTGGAACCCAATTTATGGTCTCGATGCCAATGAATCACGGTTAAAGTTTAGCTACTTCATGATATGACGCAATCAAATTTTACGGTAAAATAATGTCACCACTTATTTGCTTTTTAAATTAGCTGGTGAGCTACTCGCCAATCGTTCCCATGACGCTATTCTCTATTATCAAGCAGAATTTACTCAATTTATTAACTAATTATTGCTGGAAATACATTAATGGTACTAACTGATGCTTGCTTTTCATTTTATTAACGTAAATTAAGCTAAGTTTGTCACTCCTTGTAATTCTGATCAAGCTGTAGCTATGAAAAACTAAATTTTGGAATGTTCTGTTAATTCAAACAATTCTCAGCTTCAATTGAGACTCAGCGATCAATTTTCCATTGCCAAATTGAGCCACATATTAATATTTATCCTTAATGGAGATTCATAGATATTCTATTGCATCGGCGTACTAATAACAAGTATTTTCAGCGCTAGATTGTGAGGAGTCTAGAAAGAATGGAGTAATGGCAATGGTATCAGTGCGAATTCATTCGGATCCATGAGCATTAGGGCCAAAATGTATATTACCTCTTTATTTTCACAAAAAATGTGCAAAAAGACGAGCTCGCATAGTGATGATAAGTAAAGAGACACTCGAACGAACATATGTATCAGAATTTCATGTTTGCAGTGCGAATCTGATTAAATTTTATAATGGGTAAGTACGGCTAGTTTGTCTAGGGTTGACAGATAAACCTGCCATTTATTATCCAAAGAAAGTGAGACAGGCTCACAGATGTATAGAACTAGATCCCCGGCTATGAATGACGTTCTTGAAAAATTTTCGGGCTTCTTTTTGGTATGTTTCTCTCCTGGGAACCAGCCTAGTATGATTTTATTCGATGAAACTCAAAATGGCTTCAAATTAGTAGCAGTCTACTTGGCTTAAATTTAACTTTAAACTTATAAAAATGCATTCGTCAACCATGTAATGCTTTTGCTGCATGAAAATGAACTTGCATCTTTTATTGATGAAACTGCTATATTTAAATCCGAAATGATTTTCAAGATTTTACATAAAATATTTACTCTCAAAGCGATAGCCACCGCAAGTCGCTTTTGCTCAATAAGGCCTGACAATTAATAGTACCACTATTCAGGGGATGGCCTTAATTTGAAATTCAACCTACTCTTGTTACTTAAAGATTCTCTTCGTCTCTAAATTCATTTTCAATTTAAACTAGCTTTAGTCTAATTTACATGCGAATTATCGAGGACTTTTTTCTTCTATTTAATCAGGGTTGGTTAAGACCAGTGCAATTGTAAGTTTTAATAATAACAAGGCTAGATTAATAAATCTTATTCCAAAGTATTTGCTTCGTATTTTGGCCCTTCTTGAAGTCTTACACTCATCTTACCTTATAATTGGGTACGTTTAGCAACTCAATAATTTTTTGGTAAGAAGTAGTTACTCTAAATAACTTGAGGTGACTTAAGGAATGATAATTGAATTTTTATGAGTCTCGAAAATAGTTAACGCTATCGATTGTGATGGCAAATATGGTGATCCTACTATAAATAGGATTTGGGAGGAGTCTAGCTTATTTAAAATTTAACATCTAATCTGTGATCGACTGGCAGCAGCAGCTACGTTGAGGAACAACCTTTTAGGAGTGTTGAAGTAGTTAAGGCGAGTTCGAAATTTCTGTCCTCCGGATGTAAGAAAATTGTTTGGGTGGCAAGGATAAGCGAGATTCAATTGTATAATGAAGCCTTTTTCTTGTAATGAGATTCCTTAAGCGTTCCTTTATTCATCTTGAGCAACCTAGTTTGATTAGAGATATTGTACATTTTTCTTATTGGTTCCACAATTTGTTATATGAAACTAAAGAATTGATTTTGAGTGGGATGATTTAAATCGCGGATTTTCTTCTGGAAAAAATGGAGCTATTTTAAATTTGATATTTTATAGAAGTTGCTTGCCTTTTTTTTCGCAACTTGGTCGTATTGTCAAGGGGGCTAGAGAAATACACCTTCTCCAGAGCCCATAGTATTCATGATAATATTTGGAGTAGCGCTGTGGACTTGCTACATTCCCATACGTTTTACCGGCATCGTCAATGTGTTTTGCTATTCTTAGCACTAAGGTACACCTCGTCAAAGAGGCAAATGTTTAGCAGACAATTGGTCACATCGGTCGACTTCACTTGTCACTTTGACGAGTTATAGTGTGGTTTTCAGAATGGCATGGCTCATTTAAGATTCAGACTACGATGCCAGCGAAATGACTGTGAATGTACCAAGTGCATAGTCTGACTTGAAATAATCCTGCATGTTCTGGATTCTGGACAGAGGGAGTTCCTATATATTTCCCTGACAAATCGAGCACATTGTGAAAGCAATTACTGTACAACAAAAGGAGATGCGACTATACTAAAGTCCACACTATCCTGGTCTCCGTACCTTTAGTATGTTATGATTCATAATTACATTGACGGCCTAAACCCTATCTTTTTACTAGTTCTAGGCTCGAATATTGGTGATCTGTTTTTTTCATTTTAGTTGCTACTCGTTACCTATGTTGGTTCTGGACCTCCAATCACTATCGTCTCACTTCTTCAGCATAATTATCCACAGCATCATTCCCAGCAGTCTGACTGGTCTCGATTTCTTGCTGAACTCTATTGTCGAACCTCTGATGGTCCTTCAGAAGCTCTGAATATCGGTTCAAATCAATTGAATCAGCTTGATAGTCTTAGTCATTTTCGACCATTGTCCGACCCTCTTCGCTCTTTCAATGGCATCGTTCATTCTGCCGGATGTGCTCTAATGCGTTATCCACCCAGCCTACTACCTGATCTGCAACATAATAAAACTATTATTTCGTCTGATAAGTCTGCCTCTGCCTTCAGATCAAAGGATGCTTCCGCTAGACTTCCTGGCCCTGAAGAAATTCTGCTTTCTACGATGGATCTTGCTACACTAAGAGTCCTTTTATCCGAATCAATCCATCGGTTACACGATGCTGGTATCGCAATTAGGCTCCCTCCAATGGCCACTTGCAACTGCATGCTAGCTTCTCCGGTATCACCAACTTGTCCCGCGCGGCAGTCACAGGCACGATCATTGAAACCGTCTCAACCAGTGCCTGTTATGAGGAAGAGTAAGTGATGTTCAATAATAATCAAGGATTATTTTTGCATTACTTTGGATTTTTTTACATTCAATCAGTTTTTGTTTTGGCATCATAAAGTATAATACTGTTACTTTTCTTTATTTGATTTTAATGATTGATATGCCCAATATATTTTTTTAGTACCTTATTAGTTAAGCTTCCTTTAAATCACAGGGCTATTTATCAGAATAGGACCCGGCAAAAGTGAATATAATAGCATTTGTTTTGCACTGAGAGAAAGGAACCATGAGGTCATGCAGGTTTGTATTCTTGATACTGGCAATAATCGGATAGCATTTATTCGTCAATAAAGAAATAAGATATATCAACATATGGCAAATAGAGATAGCTAAATTCGACAGATGAGCCACGGTTTAATAACTCATTTTACTTCTATTTACTAAAAGAATCCAACTTTATTCTACTTTTCCAACTTAATTGCAAAATGGATGGGGTGAGATATTCCAAAAAAGAAGAAATATCTAGGGTCAATTAGCTCACTATCAAAATGATTCTCTTTCCAAATAATTCTATTATATCTATATCGTCTGTGTTAGCAGCAGCATAGCTAACTGTTTAGATCAGTTAAGAGAAACGGATTCCATTGGGAAGGAAGACCTTGTTAAAAATAGAACATGACCAATGCTTTTTTTATGATAAGTAGGTTTTCGAGACTACCATAGATCACATTTAATAGATCTATTGGCTATATTTCGTTTAAGATGATAGGAGGGCTAGTAATTGAATTTTCCAACAATGATTGAGTTGATCTTACGTTTCCATTGAATTTTACATAGTCTTTCTTTCCCAAAAAATATCTTCATCCAGGATGAACTGCGGTTTCGACCTTGTCTGTATCTTATTAGTACCCTTAGCTTGAATTAAATCATGCTAGTGTGGCGTGTACCCTCGACACTAACCATTAGACCACATTGCCACGAGTACCCTTAAATCATAGTGCAGATGTGCATTTCAAGGAGTGTCAGACACTTTCTCATATCACGTTCTGTAATGGGATTGTTGACGAATCAAGGTTGCATTTGCTATATCAATCGACTACATTATTTATTTTTAGATGATAAGTTGATTTTTGAAACCTTAACGAAATAGGGTGATTACATTTTATATATGCGATTTACCAGTAATCTTTTGGGGATAAGGTTATGGAAAATTCAATGGAGACGTAAGGTCTACTCATATCATTGTAGGAAAATTTAACAGCCAGTCATTTCTCACCTTGACGAAATAGAGTAAGTGCATATCATATATATGGTCATTAGCGTTGGTTTTATCTCGTTTTTGCCACTTATATGAGTGACAGGGTGACTTAATGGAACATACTTACTCCTGCGTCCTAGGCCGTAGCATTTATTCAATTATCAGAACATTACCTTGGTGTTTTCTCAGACTTATACTGGCATCTTAAGAGGTGGGATCTTAGTCATCCTAGGTCGGTTAAGTTGATGAAAGTATGATAGGGAATTCTCACAAAATGAGATAGGTGAGTCCCTCGACTTTATGGCTTTCACTTAGCCTTGCTTTTCATAAGGTATTCGCATTTATGATAAGGACTGCCTCCAACGCCTCATTGGTCTCATCAACACCCAAATTGGAATCATTCTCGATTAGACTAATGCAGTGATTCCCAAACTGTGCTCCGCGAAATATTGTAAAAGCTTCAATTTGAGAAAATGTGTAGTGATTTGCAGGCTCATCCATCACATTAATTATTAAATATTAATTTATTATTAATAAAGTAAAAAAAATAATGTAGATACACGAGTTTTATTTTTTCATCTCTTACTTACGAATAGTCATACTTAGGGTAGGGCGCCATGGAAAAATTTAAATTTAAAAAGGCACCTCGACTAGCAAAAGTTTGGGAACCACTGGTATAATGTATAGTTTAGACATGCTAACGATGCTTCGCATTTGTCTTCAACACAAATCACTCACAGGACAGAAATAAATTTCAATATCAGTACTTTATCTTAATCAACCTAACATGAATTAAGCTTTTACTCAAGATCTACTGATAATCTCGAAATCCTACCCAAAATTGATGTTGCATCATCTTTATAAGTCGTGTTTTAAGGATGCTGCCTCTCGCTGATGATGTTGAAGAAAGGCATGGGAATATGCACAGTTAGCTGTTAGAAATTAGAGTTTTAGCGAATACTATGGAAAAAGATCCTGGGCTCTAAATGTTTCATATAATCTTCTTGTCGATTCGCTCGACTTCCGAGAGCTATAGTAAAGCAATACTACAACTAAAAAAGACTGCGACTAAACTCAGGTTTAGTCTACCTTTGTCGTCAAATCTATGGCCATGATTATTTTTTATTGTTTATGAACTTTTTGGCACAGAAAAGATGCTAATTTCTGATTTATAATGACATCTTAAGCAAATTAAATGCATCTCAACTTAGGATTTATTCGAAGGTATGAAGACCAAGATGGTGTGGCCTTTTGTGTGGTCGCAGTCTCCTTTCGTTGTAT